CTAATTATTAAAAATTTTATTTTTTTCAATTTTTATTTATATTTACAAGTTTTTTATTAAATTCTACAAAAATTATTTATAAATTAAATATAAAATTAAAAAAAAAATATTTTCTAAAAATTAAATATTTTGTAATAAAAATATAAAAAAAAGAAATATTTTTAAAAACAAACATTATTTGAAAAATTTATTATTTAATATTTTTATATTAATATAAAATATTTTAATATTAATAATATTATATTTAAAAATAATATATTTATTTAATTTTAAATAAAAAATTTAAAAAATTAATTTAATAATATTGAAATATAATTTACAAATTTAATATATTTAGTATATTTCAACAAACCTCTTAAATTAATAACTAATAAAATCATAACATCAATAAATACTACAAAAATATTAAAACAAAAATTTTAAATAAATAAAAACAAATACTTTTTTTTTGAAAAATAGCTTGTTTTTCAAAATTTTGCTTATAAAATAGCTTTTAATATTTTAACAAAAAATGATTCTTGTAAAATTTTATTATTATATATAATATTAAATCATTTTAATTCTAAAATTAAATTAAAATTCTATTAAATATTACAAGTTAAAATTAAAAGAATATATAGCTATACAAAATATACAAAATTAATAATTCTATAATAATTTTTTATCTAAATTAAAATTATAAATTCTCAAGTATTGTATTTACCATTTTTTTTGTTTTTAATCAAATTTAATTCAGAAATTTTATGATTATATTCTAACTTGCCGAAGTCCACGTCAATCATTTCGGAATTTAGAATTCCAAAACGACGTACGTTAATTTTGAATTCGAAACGACGTACGTCATTTTGGAATTCGGAATTAACGTGAATTCCGAAACGACGTATAGCAGTCACGCCATTTTGGAATTCCGAATTGACATACGTCATTTTGGAATTCTGAAACGACGTACGTCAATTCGGAATTGAAGTGAATTCCGAAACGACGTATAACAATTACATCAAGTATACGTATTTATTTGTTATATCGATATTTATATGTCGTGCTGAAACTTTAGTATAAAGAGTTAACTGTATTTTTTTTTATTTTTTATGTTAAAATATAAAATTAGAATAAAATGAATCTATCCATTTAGATTTTTTTAAGTTCAGAAAGAAAATTGATAGTTATGAATACAGTACTCGCAAATTTCAAAAAAAAGATTATAAGTGTGAAATTAACAAATATACAGAGAAAGCTCACCATTTACTCTCTAAATGCCCACGCTGTCTTTTTAATATCGTCCAAATGGTGCACTTAGAGGTTTCTCTACTTATATTTTAATAAACATAATACAAACATGATTTCGCTATTTCTATGAGAAATTTCTAGATGTAGTTACTTTTACACAAAGATTAAAGTCATAAAAAACGAAATTAATAAAAATTTTCCTTGATATTTGCTGAGAAAGCAAGAAAGAAATGCTAAAAATTGTAAAAATCAACTTCGTATTGTTAACATGTAAATTATTAAAATTATACTATCTGAAATATTTCAATTTCATCAAATTCAAATAAAAACTCGTCTCCAAGCAAACCATATTCGTAGCATTCAGATTTACAACCATAGATGAGATTTGGTTTGAAACTTATCATCAAATCACCCATTCCAAAATATAGCTTTGAATCAGAAGAAATCATTGTCTTTATTCCTTGAGATATACTTAATAACTCTGTGTTATTATTCAGATCAAATGAATAGAGAAAACTAACGCAAGTATCCACAGAAGCGTGAGACCTTGATTTCCAAGGTATAGGATTGTAGCCACCAATTATGTTTGAATGGTCCTTTAAACGAATAGCTGTGACTGTTGGAACTTGTCCATCGCACAACCGATGAAAAGCTTCAATTTCAAACCCGTCACGACTACCACGAAATAATAATCTTAAATTCACTTCACCGATTTGAGTTTTATCTTCACGGTTAATCCACATTTTAATTTTGCTTATTTGTTGATTCGATAAAATATAGGAATAACTTGCTAACCCTCGTACATGGTGTTGCGTTGTTAAATGAAGTTTATATTTTGAATCCAAATATTGTTTTTCTAAATCTTGAACTAAAGTATCTGGTAATATTCGTGAATATGGCAAAACTTTGTTGAGAAAATCAGTATGGTTGATATGAAAGAATCTGAAATATGGCAAGCAATTTTGGAGAGTTGACTTTAAAAAATCGAATTCGTTCTGTGTCCAAGTTTCAATCGGAGAATCCAATTGAGAATCTTGTGTGATTCCCCATTCAATAGCCTTATTCCATATTTCAATTTCCGTAAGATTCAAATGATCACTTTGAAGCAATAAAACAAGAATTTGTTCTTCAAGTTGAGTAAAATCAGGAGAATTGAAGATTATTCCGGGATTTCTACATGCAATATTAATGCAAAAGTTTTGCAAAAGTATAAGATTATTGTACTTAAAAGCGATTTGAATGACTGTATATAAGTTTTCCGTAATTGACTCTTCCAAATGTTTACTTATATAAGTTTGGATATATTCAATTAAACCATCCATTAGCAACTCATCCGCAGCAATCAGTACATCTAACACAGTGAATAAATCATAATTTTCCAAATTGATTTCTCCACTATAAAAATATCTATTAATTCATAATCCAACAGTTAGTTATTATTGTTAGTCTTTTGCAGTCAGACCTCCCTATATGTAACTCGACGGGAGACATAGAAAAAGTTGAGATAACTTGCATTTAGAGATAGAGGTCAAAATACATATATATCTTATAAGCTGGGTCAAATTAAAGCATACATTTAGAGAGGATCAAACTTAGCGATTGCATTTAGGGAGGTCTGACTGTATTAATACATGTATTACCTTAACAAACTTTCAAAAATCTTCGGAGTGATATTCGGCTTTTGGAAGCTGGTTAATTTATTTACTTCTTTTTTAGTCCAGACATTCGACAAAGCTGTCGCAAAATATGGCGATTGTGCTACCAAAATTGCCAAGTGTGCCGAAAAAGTTTTTTGTTCGTTTGGTTGTTCGCCGACAGTTATTAAAATGTCATGAAATTTTGAATTTTCGTATAGTCTAACGAGATTATTGCTATGAGCTTTCAATAATTTTTCTTTAGTATTAAACATGTCTGTACGTAGCGGTAGCGGTAGCGGTACGTAGTTTGTTGCGTATCGAACGTACGTACATGTACATGTACATGTATTTAATTCAAGAAATGTTTGTCACACAAGTGATACAATAATGCACCATTACTATCGCTATCGCTATACATGTACATGTACTTCAAATTTAATATTTTATAATCAGTTATTTTGATTTTACTCAGCGAATTAATGTGTATTTTTTAACACACAGCAATGATAATTATTTTGATATTCTTCTAGTGCTAATAATAAATTAATTTGATTCATATACAATCAAACTGAAGTGTTGTAGAAAGTTTTGAAAAATTCGGTTCACCGAGGGTTCGATTTATCGAGATTTTTTAACGTTAATGTCTAAAGAATATAGAAAAGGAAAATTAGGGTAATAACGACAAAGCATATTATAACCTAATATTAGTGAATTAACTTCTGTTGTAATGGAAATAATGACAAATAATGGTTTAAAATAAATACCATGTCTTAGTCTCGATACAAGTCTAACGCGTCACGATATACTGCGCCACATTATTAGTCATTCCGCCATCGATGTTTACAAATGAATGGTCATAGTTATTAATTTAATAATATAGGTAGGAGGGACAAGGGTAATTTTTTAAAGTTTCAGTAAAACGGATGATAGACACATCGGGGGGGGGGTTTAGTTGTAAACTGTTGTCAGTGTTGAGGCTGTCATGCTAAGAAGACAGGAGAGGTCTTTTATCTTCCTATATATAAATAAAAAAATCAAAAATACAAATTTTATAATTGATAACATTAACTGTCCCCACTCAGAACAGCTCCCCGAACAATGTCTTTAGTTGAAATACTTATAGCTTGTAAAATCAATGCTTATCTTATAATTTCATGAGCAACTTCTCTGTTTTAAAGCCAAAACAATAGCGATAGATTTAATATAGATATTGCGGGTGATGGAAATGTAGTGACAGGTTCTGATAAACCAAAAGTGTTGTCCAGACAGTAATCAATAAAAAATTGCATACGAACTTGAACATGTAATAAATGGAGTATCATTGATTATCACTAGTCTTGAAATCTTTTTCAGCAGGTTTCAATGGGACATTTATTGTTTGTTGATAAACGTTGAGACTCAATTCTTTTGAACTTTCAGTATCTTTTCCATTATTCTCAATATTAATATCAAACTCTCGTGAGACATATGCTAACATCATAAAATAGGGCACTAGGAAATAATAGCGGTATTATAATCGCGGCATAGCTAATAAATTCACCTTTATTCACATGATTTGGAACACACAAACTGATACTTGTAGCGCTAAATACATGTATCACTTTATAATTAATATGTAACGTCAATGTAATTTATAGAAAATGCCTATATTATTAGAGTTGAAATGAATTTCGTAGTTCAAGAATAGATACAAAATATTCAGTTTGCTGTTGTCGACCGGAAAGCACAAGTAGATCGAGTTGATAAAGTCGAAAGGTTCTTTTGTTTCCTGGATTACCGTTACATTCTGGTTGCAAAGCAAATAAAGAATGATGGGCATGAATAAATACCGATACGTATGTACGTATATTGATGCTCATCGGTACGTACATATTTATTAAACGATCGTTATGTAAATCATCTATTTGAGCATTTGAAAGATTACATAAAAATACACTATATTTTAGTCGTTTGTAAAATTTCTTTATGATGCATTGTATGCTAGTCAAAAAATCGCAAAAGAAAACAGAAAGTCTAGCAATCAACTTAGAATAATATCTAACCACCATTCATTATAAAGAATACTTGGAATAAAAGTTTCAGCTTTCGACAGACCATTTCTATCAATATACCTCGCTGATGCAATATCCAATAATTCTATAGTACACTTAGGCTCTTTGTCACTGCCTCTAAATGGTCATTCGAAAAAAATTTCGCATACGGAAGTCCAAGTATAGTAATTTTAGCGCTGGAATTGTCAAGAAATTGTTTAAATGAGTCAGAGTCAAATTGAAGCTTCATTTCAATTCGAAGTTCAATGATTGTGACTGGAATTGATGATCCTAATAATTGAAAAAAGATATTGGCGTGGTGCTTTCTTCTGTTGTGCTTACGGATAACGAGTTTTTGCAATTGCCGACATGAGTTTACGATGTATTAATTGATTGCAGGTCTACTACACAGCCTTCAAAATACCGAAGATTTTTGATACTGTGAGTGAGAGTTTTGATAACTTCGTTTGAAATGACTATAGTTTTTATTAGAATTAAGTGTTGTAGAGAATGGTGTGCAAAATTTATAAGTAGAAGTATTGCAGCTTATTTTTGTTTCTTTGATTTTGATTTCATGGAGTCGAGAAATGTGGTTTTCGGTTTTTTCAACAATTTCTAGAAGTGCATGAATTATACAAGCCGATAGGTTTAATTTTTCCAGATTTTTGCATTTTGAACAAAGTTAATCAAAGAATAGTCATCGTGAAAATATATCGATTTCAACTCGAGTCTTTTCAATGAGAAACAAGTTGTTTCAAAGGATTTAAAGATGATTTCTGTATACCCATAAGATTTTTCAATCGAAAGTGATTCCAGTTTTTTGAACACCCAAAAACCATCCAAATTTTGTTTAAGGTCGATAGTTAAATATTCAGTTTCCTCAGAATTTAAGCCAATATCTAATTGCTGGATTTCATTTGAAACTTTGGCTGCGGAAGCCAACAACTTCGGATTAAAATCTCCTACACATTTTAATTTTGTTAATTTGCACAATGATCACCAAATGAAAAAATATCCCAAGACTGTGTTCCCAATAAAGTTCATTCATTCCCATCCCTTGAACAAATTCAAACAACATTTCATTAACTGTCGCAGAATTTGAAATTATATGACGAAGTAAAGGTATTCAGAACTACATCTTTGGACGTTGTACCCCCGGTCGTATTTCACACCAGTCAATTGTAATCCATGAAAGACTTTCGATTGAAATGTATTTTAGATAACTGGTGTATGGGAAAATTGGGCGAGTTTTCGCGACCTCGGGCAACCGATCACCAATTTTCTCTTTTTCTTCTGACGAAAAATATCAACATGTCTACTAAATTAGCCCAAAATAGTTGCTTGTAGACACCAGTGTCGATTTACGAAAATACAAGAATGAAGTGTTGGCGTGTGATTGTCGAGTCCGTTGAATATTTCTTCAAAGCTGGTAAAGTGGCTGCCATGATTTTTTGTTAGCTGTGAAAATTTTTTGGTTTTATCGATTGTTATACATGTACGTACATCTATAACAAACGTGTAAATGTTATCGTTATACGCAATACAAGTACATGTATTTAGTTTAATTACCGTTACGTAATTATTATTGGTAAGTGTATCGGTATGTCAAGTTATTTTTATTTGTACATGTACATAACAATAATCAAACCTTACGAGATTTGGCAATCAGACCAAAAGGATGTAGCATCTCAGGTTATGAAAAATACAGGAACATAAATTTTCTTCGAACATGTGATGATATAAGCCAACTGTGACCCTGATCACAGTCTCATAGTTTGGCACTTTTTTATAAGCAAAAATTAAATAAAGCTTACCCACATCAGGCTTTTATTTTTTAACCATGTGTGTGATGTGCATCGGAAAAATTCAACGCTACATGTTTATGTGGTAATTGCCGGCCTACACCGTACTGATATAATATAAGCACTACGTATATACCGGCCAATCTTTGACTGTCCTAACTAAAATCCGAAGCGCGATGATCGCCTGTCGAGATGCGTGTATCAGTTAGTCGACGCATTATCAATCTTAATCGGACATGTATATACATGTACCCCTATTACCGACCATCCGACATCCCTTAAAATTATGCTTTAATAAAAAATGTTCCTTGCGAAATTTTACTATATATCAGATTTACGTTTGCTATTTGCTATACAATAACCTTGACTCTAACATAATATTATGCATTATTAGTTTTTGAAACTAAAAAACCAAATTTTGTTTAATTATTTTTATAAAAAAATATTTTTAAACTAAATTTTAGAATTCTTTATTTATCTAGATAATTTAAACAAATATATAAAATAGAATTATAAAAAAAAATTTGGTTTAGTTTAATATAAAATTTAATTTAAAGTTTAATTAATTTTAAATCTAATTAAATATTTGATTTGAGTTCAAATAAATATTCAAAAAGATTTTAGGTAAATTATAAATTATAATTAAAGTTATAAATTAATATAAAATAATTATTTTTAATTATTATAATTTAGTTATAATATAATAAATATTTATTTTTAATAAAATTATAAATTATAATTTTAAATAAAGTTATAACTTAAAATAAAAATTATAAATTAATATAAAATAATTAATATTAATAATAAATATTAGAGAATAATATAATATTTATAATAAAATTCAATAAATATAAAATAAAAATAATTTAATTATCTTTAAATAAATATTTAATTTTTAATAAATATTATATAATTTATATTTATATTAATATATAATATTATATATTAAATTTAAACTTATATAGTAATTTAATTTGAATTCAATTCAAACTTTGAATTTTTTTGAATTCAAGTCAAAATCTAATTTGAATTAATCTCAAATTTAAATAAAAGTTTTGTTTATATAAATACTAATATAAAAAATAAAATATTACTTTTAATTTTTTGATTTGAATATGTTGTGCCTCAAATGTCGATTTGCATCAGATATCGATCAGCCTAAATTAAGATGGGAGTATTACTAGCGTTAGAGTTAGGATTACGGTTAGTGCTGGTAAATAAATAGAAATAACAAATATAAGCAAATTTATTTTAATAATATTTTTAAATAATAATTATAAAATATAATTTTTTTAATTAATATTATAATTAAAATAAATAATTATATTTATTAATATAAAATTTTTTCAATTAATATTATAATTAAATAATTAAAAAATAAACAATTATATTTTATTAATATAAAATTTTTTTAATTGATATTATAATTAAAATTGTTAAAAAAATTATTAAAATAAATAATTATATTTTATTAATATAATTAAAATTTTTTACAAGTTAAGCTAACTTGTAAGCTAGTATTAATTTGCAAATCAAATCAAATTAAATTAAATTAAGCTTAAAGATAATATATTGTTACCATTTCTGTTAGTTTATTAATTTTCAAATATAGATTACATGTTCTTCACGTATCTCAATTAGATGTGAGAGTTATTAAAGATTTTTATGTATTTAAAGTAATTAAGATTGGGAGAAACTAATTTAATAAAGGTAGATAATGATGTATTCATTTTGTTAAACTACTAGAATAAGTTCAGAAATCTTTTTTTAATTCAAATAGTTTAATTATTAAGTAATTTTCTTTTATTGATTAACTTTTATTAAAATTATCTTCTTCTTTTATTATAAATCTAAATAATATTAATCAACTTCGCAGAATAGTAACAAGAAATTAATTATGTTATTATAGAAAACATTACTTATTACAGATGAGAGATCTCTTAAATAATAAAGAATACAAATAAAAAGCTTTAAATATAATAATATAACTTCTTATAATATAATTATTATAAATATAATCTCTCTTTAAGTGCATATAATATTTCAATTTTATAATAAAACTTATTAATAAATATATATTTTATATTTTGCAAGTTTATATTATCTTTTAATTTATTTATATATAGATTTCGCTATAAGTACATATTATATAATAAATTTTTTTTTCTATTTTATTTATTGGTTTTTCACTCTAATTCAGTTCTTGCAAAATGTAATAAAATAACTCAATTTTTTAAATATAACTTTTAAATATTGTAATTATATTGTCATTAACTTAATATATCTATACATGTGATCTGCTATTACTAAGAGCATGTGTAAACAAGACTATATGAATAAATATTATTGGTTAATTTCTAATTGCAACTCTCTAGATATATACTTGGAAGCTGATTTCCAGAAGTTGCATTTAGAGAGAGTTTATTATATACTCAATATCAACAATTTAATTAAAAAATACTCATCTTCGAAGAAGCAGATATTGATGCTAAAGAAATGATTTAACAATCATTATATAGCTTAAGAGATGAGCTTTCGAATGGTATTAACAAAATTATAATAGGAAATCATGTCTTGTTACAAGACAAAGACATTCTAATCATTATCACTCAAGTGATATGGAAAATTTATTTTGCATGCCACAAACTTCTAATGACCATATCCCGACGAATATCTATATTAGAGAAAGGATCAAATCGTTATTACATAATCTGAAACCTGAGTTTTCAATCAATATTAGGAAATCAAGCAAAGAATAGATATCAAATAACAAAGCAAATGAGTTTTCAAGTGTGACCAACTTTATAAAACATAACACATACCAATGTGGTCAACTTTATGTGATCGATAATCCGCCCATATGATCAAATTCATGGAATGCACCACCTTCGAACCACGACATATCACCAAACTCAAAGCAGAGATCTCAGCCAATTCACAACAGTGTTTCAGAACCTAACCAGTAGATTAGAAATCTTAAAAACTCCGAGAAAAACTACTTTTCAACCATTGTGACTAGATTCACAGAATGTGTTACTTTCGGGTGTGACCATATTCATGAACTATGGTGCATAACATCTAAAGTCATCAAACATTTATATTTTATAGAATGGATTATACCTCTTTACTAAGAAGTAAATACAAAATTTAATCCGTGAATATGATAGAATAGGCCCTTTCTGAGCATATTCACGGATT